TACATTAAGGATGAGTTTGAAATTTAACGGGCAACTCGAGACAAGACCCGCTCCAAGACACTTTACCAATGAAGACATACAAGAGCAGCTAGGTCGTCTAATACTTCGTAAACCGGGTAAACATCCTAACACTCTCAAAGATAACATGGATCAACTAGGATTCGAGTTGAACTGGTCAAAACATAACATATTTTTCGAGCTCGAGTATTGGTCTTCTCTGCAGCTGAAGCACAACATAGATTTGATGCATGTCGAGAAAAATGTGGGTGAGAGTCTTTTGGGTACTTCTATGATGAATGATAAGAGTAAAGACACATCAAATGCACGTGAGGACTTGAAAAATCTGAATATCCAGCGTAATCAATGGTTGCAAAAAAAAGGGTAACAAGTTCACTAGACCACATCCAAGCTACTCATTCAAGAAACCTGACCACAAAATCTTTTGTCAATTTATAAGAGATGTTAAATTTCCTGATGGGTTTGGATCTAACATTAGTAAGAAAGTGGTAGATAATGATACTAACATTATCGGGTTGAAATCTCATGACTATCACATTCTTATGCAACGTTTGATATCGATTGGAGTTAGAGCGTTATTGGACAAAGAAACTTCTACACCAATTGTAGATCTTTGTTTGTTTTTCAAGCAAATTTGCTCCAGAACACTAAAGGTGGAGGACATGAGGAAAACAAAAGAAGACATTATTAGAATCTTGTGCAAGTTAGAGTTGATTTATCCGCCAACGTTTTTCGACATTATGATTCATTTAGTTTTGCATTTACCTGATGAAGCGATTGCCGGAGGCCCGGTATGTATGCGATGAGTGTATCCGTTCGAAAGGTATGTATGCGATGAGTGTATCCGTTCGGAAGGTTGTATAGTTGAAGGTTATATTGCTGAAGAAGCTTTGACATTTTGTTCGATGTACCTTCGAGATGTCAATCGCCTTGAAAGAAACGAAGACATTGTCATTGAAAAAACAAAGTTTTGGATGTTTGAGTCCAAGTGTCGACCGACGAGAGCAACGCAAATCAAACATCTTGATATAAGGGAGAAACGTAATATAGAATGGTTTATATTGAATAGTTATCAAGAAGTCAGACAATACATTGAGTAAGTATTCTTACTTTTAATAATCTTTCATTATTTATTGTTACTTATATATTTTTTCATCAATATAGAAAATTCAAATCTGAACATCCTGAAAGTGACGAAAAGACCGAATTTCCCAATTGGTTTCTTGAAAAGGTAATAATAATTAACAAACAAATATCTTTGATAAATATAACGAATCAAAAATACATAACACATCAACATATGTTTAATAGGTTTATCAGATGGAAAAAGAAAACTCTCCAGAATTCCACAAAGAGTTGTCATCCCTTTCAATGGGTTCACAAATGGATATTTATACTTCCACTGCGTGCATAGTCAACGGTGTTAGGTTTATGGTACTTAGTCGTGATGTACAACGTAAAACGCAAAACTCTAGGGTTCTAGCGGTTGGTGAGAATGGAGAGAAATATTATGGCCAGTTAGAAGAGATTATGGAGGTGCAATATCCATATGATTATTCGACTGTAATATTTCGGTGCAAGTGGTTCGATACGAGAGATATTCATGACGATAATTTCATAAGTATCGACACAGAAAAAGAAGCATACCAAGATGATCAACTCATATATGCTTCGCAAGCCAAACAAGTGTTCTACATCCGCGAGCCTATTAATCATTGAAGAAACCAAAACAACAACCCACATTGTGTCGTCGAGCATGTTAATCATCGAAATATTTGGGATCTACCATCCGACAATGCTCGTGTCCAAAATGCTTACAGTGACTCTGTCCAAGAAATCAACAATGTGGAGGCCGAAAATGTTGACATAGTTCAAAACAACTCTTCATCTGGAGCTAGACTTTTTATCGACTTCTCACAATACTTTCAAAACAATGTTGATGTAGCTCAAAACAATGTTGATTATGACGATGAAGACGAGACTGAAGTACCTCCGCCAACGGGTAGAATCGATAATGTTTCTGATGAAGAGACTGATTATGATGATGGCGATTCTGATTATGATACCGATGAAGAAGACATTGAAGTATATGATGAAGATTCTGATAAAAAAAATCAATTTTTTTTTTGTAATAGAAACTTTATTTGAAATGTACCTTTTAATTCATATTGTTTGTCTAACTTTTATTTATGTTGTTTGTCTATATTGTATATCTTACAATTATGCAGGGTAACTAACTTTTATTCATATTGTATTTCTATATTGTACATCTTGTAATTTACGGATTGCAGATGAGGTTTACTTGGGCGATACTCTTGGCCATGATGGCCGATGTTATGGGGCTTGGACATGGAGGTGATGGAGCCGGGGATCCACCACCTCCAGTAGGCTTTGGTCGTGGTCAACACGAACAGGATGGTGAGTTCAATTATGATATATTTATTAACTATTTTTATTATTTTATAATAAGTTATCGTGACTAATATTTTTAATTGTATTTTTTCAGCCAAGCTTCCAAAAAAAAGAAGGGGCAAAATATCGAGCTTGGAAAGTTGTTACGGGCAAACAAGGGAAAGCCCGTGGATTTAGATTTCAACAGGGAGATCACATATTCCCCTGTCGGGAAGCGTGGTAATTGGTTCACACATGAAATTGGGAGGTATTTGTGGAACAATGTCCCTTTCAACGTATCTGGTTGGGATAATGTTTCCCCCGCCTTAAGGAACGCAGCAGTTGTACATCTAAAGGTAACTTTGATACAATTTTAAGTTTAGTTGTGATTGTTATTTAATTAACTAAATTGTTTGTGTTTTGCAGAATAAATTTGATTTGAATAAGGTTAACATGGATCCGGAGCGTGCTTAATTGTTGCGGAGCATTGATTCGAGTTTTGCAAAAGTTTATAGAGGCCAAAAAAGTAAAGCCCATTCTTATTTTAAGGAAATCGGGGGGCCTACAGATATCCCAGCAGCATTAAACAACCCTCTAATGGTATGTCACATGAAAATTGGGCGAAGGCAGTCGAACATTTTCAAACGTCAGAATTTTTAAGGCGTTCGGCAATACCAATCGCCAAGGGGTATTTTAAAGTCCTGCACTCGAGCAACAATACGTAAGTGGTTAATTTGTATTTTTCATATAAGTGTTTATATCATCAAAGGTATTTAGTAATCTAATTTTTATGATTTTTATTATATTTTAAAAATACATAATGCTTTACTCGAGGAGATCAACCAACGAACCCAAGCTACTTCTGAAGCAAGCAGTCTAGCACCAACTGATATAAAAAATTATTTTGAAAGAATATTGGGTGTTTGATGCGGACATATAAGAGGCATTGGGCGTAAACCCCCTACCGTTGTGTCCATGTACGATCAGGAACAACCAATGACACAAGAACAACCACAATCACATGTAATTGTTAGTAAATGCTATAATGGAAAGTAGAATGCTATGATGATATGTTGGTAATATATTTTGTTTTCTTTATAGTTGGAAATGCTGCAAACAATACTAAAAGACCCGGCCTGTTCTGCAGCATTGGAAGAGTGGTTCCGCTCGTTGCCGCTACCAAATAATGAAGGAAATGAGGACGAGTAGTTACTTTAGGATTTTATGAAATGTTTTGTAATTTGGAAGAATATTTTAGATTGTGGTATGGATTAATATTTTGGATTTAGAATTTTATGAAATGTTTTGTAATTTTCAAGAATACTTTACAATGTGGATGGATTAATATTTTGGATTGATTGTGTATGTATTAATATTTTTATAACAAGTTATCAAATTTTATAAATGCTATATGGATTAATATTTGGATGATTATAAATTTATGTTAAATAAATAAACTAAAAAAATCAAAAAAGTATTAGCGGCGACATCTTTTGTGGCGACATACTTTTATTAGCAGCGACATGGTATTAGCGGCGACAAAGAGCATTAGCAGCGACGTGTTGTATTAGCAGCGACATATGACGTATTAGCGACGAAGCATTACCTACGACCCATTTGCAGCGATTTGTCGCCGCTAAAGGTATTAACGGCGACAACCCAAGCCTTTAGCGGCGACAGGCGACGCCACTGTTGCCCGATCTTCTTGTAGTGAGGGTACTAATTTAATGAATGATTAATGCCATGTGTTAGACCACAAGGAGTGGGCAACGTTTTTACGTATTATTTTGAGGTGGCAATCAAAAAACGACGTTATAACATCTTGTACGCCGCCATCCTCTTATGTTATTTGGTGTTATGTTAAGAGATGTTATCATGGCAATGGGAAGCAATGTGAGAATTAACCAATCAAAAACTATTATTTCACACACTCTCTCTAACTTTATTTGTATGTCTTAACATGTGATAATATTTGCACACCATTTCCTACATAAATCAAATGGTGTTAAAGATGAAATAACATGTGAATTGACAAATTTTGGGTATAATAACATGTCTTAACAGGTTGCTCATACCCAATATTCCTAGAGAGTCTCGTTGGGTGTCAAGCGTTTTAACCATCTACCTGGCCTGATACTTATTGTCTTTATTCTCAAAATTTGTTATATATAGAGTATCGGGAAAAAAAATCAGACCCCTAAACGACACGCTCTATACGACCGCACATCCTGCATGTGCATAGGGCTGGTCCTGGCTGCATGTATAGGTGTAACCCTAGGTTGATAACATGTTGGATAAATGGAAGGAATTAACGATCACACAATTAAATCAAAACTAAAGTGATGTATCAGAGGATTAATGGTGTAATATATAGTACTAGTAATCCATAATTATAAAATACCCGTCAAACTATCACATAAAACGTAAATCTCATGAGCAAACCTATAACTCACACAAAGATACTAATTAAACACGTCAAATTGTTCCAGGAAAGCATGCTCAAAGATTAAGTGGACAGCTTACATGCAGTATATTACTTGAACTCCATTATGAAAAACGACTAAACAAGAAATCGTACTCGATTGGATTGTTCAAAGCCCTAACTCTTCAACCCCCACAACATGTTTCTCTAATGGCCTGTACATGTAAAACATAACCATACAGAACACAAGATTGCCGGTTTCCTTTGCCGCATCAATCATCCATGGCCACTTGTCAACAACAAGGGGAGCCAGTCCAAAAACAACAATAACTCTCGTAAAAAACACGTATCCAAAAGCGGCCAACACAAATAGACGCAACTTTTCCAAATCCCTAGCAGCACTCCCATCAGTCTCATGAGCCTCCCTCAACGAGATGATAGATGAGTACATGGAGAACATAATAACGCAAGAGCCGTAATCGGACAAGAAAAAAACTGCCTTCCACTTCCAATAGTCGTAACCAGAATGGCTGGTTTCCCCTGCCTTTATAGAAGCTACACTACCTAAAACCTGAAGTAGGATCACATCCATCAAAATCATCAAAATCAAAGTATCCATTCCTTTCCAAAACGGCTTCTGTTGGAATAATTCAGAAATTAGTTTTGAAATGGTCTTATGTCACATTTTTTATGTGTTGAATAATTCAAGCCATGTTGGCTGATGAAGTCCGAGTCCTAAGCAAGTAGGGGTAGTTGCAGAAATTTTAGCATTTTCTTTGTTTAAATAGATAGCTAGTTGTGAACGTTGATGGATCACTTTCCCTTCAGTTTCAGTAAATAAAGTCTCCAAAAGCTATAAGCTTTAAGCAGTTTTTGTGCTCTGTTTCTTTTGTTACTGTTTCATTGCTATACTCTTGATAAAAGGCTTGTGAAAAGCCAACAAGTGGTATCAGAGCATACCTGGTACATGCCCAAGTATCAACCGAGAAAAGAAGAAATGGCAGGCAGTGGCAGCAATGGGAATGGTGACAAAGATGGGCAAATCACTCTACACTATCCGATGTTGACTAGAAGCAATTACAGTGCATGGGCAATTAAGATGAGGGTCTTTATGCTGGCTCAAGGCGTTTGGGATGCAGTAGAACCCAGAACAGCCAACACTCTTGTTGAAGCAAAGAAGGATAACATGGCATTGGCTGCCATTTATCAGGGAATACCGGAGGACCTGCTCATGACATTGGCGGAGAAGAAGACTGCCAAAGAAGCTTGGGAAGCTCTCAAAATTATGTTTGTAGGAGCTGATAGAGTGAAGATTTCCAGGATCCAAACACTCAAGGCTGAACTAGAAGCCATGAGCATGAAAGAAACGGAGAATATTGATGATTTCACCGGAAAAGTAATTAACACAGTCAGCATGTTACGAACCTTGGGAGACAAGGTAGAAGAATCACAGGTTGTGAAGAAGTTACTCAGGTCTGTTTCGTCCAAATTTCTTCAGATTGCCTCGACACTCGAGCAATTTGGAGAGCTGGAATCGATGTCCGTTGAGGAAGTAATCGGGAGGCTCAAGGCGTACGAAGAACGAATGAAGAGCTCATGTGAAAGCGATGATCGGAAACTCTTGTTGACTCACAAGGAGTAGTCCGATAGAAACAAAAAGAAATCAGAAGGTGACTCAAAACAAAGAGTAAGTCGAGGTGGTATCACTGGTTCTCGTGGCGGTCGTGGTAGAGGAAGAGGAAGAAACGGCGGAAGTCGTGGTGGTCGCGGTGGCAGAGGCAGAACGCATCACCACAAGGAAGGAAATTCCGGTGCATCGAGTAGCCATGACAAGAGTAATATTTAATGCTATAACTGCCAGGAGTATGGGCATTATGCATCTGAATGCAAAAATCCTCAAAAGGAACGAAGCCATGAGAATAATCTGGTCCAAGAACTCCATGAAGACGAGCCTGCCCTGTTGCTGTCAACATACGAAGATGAAAGCCTAGTATTCTTAAATGAAGAAAACCTCAGTCCTCAACTGAGAACCCATGGTAATCCAAAGAACACATCTTGCACATGGTACCTGGACACAGGTGCAAGTAACCATATGACTAGAGACAAAACCAAGTTTACAACATTGAATGAACCAATTCATGGTTTTGTGAAATTCGGGAACGAATCCAAAGTAAGGATTGAAGGAAAAGGCTCAGTTGTATTCAGGTGCAAAGATGGTGGTCAACGAAGGATGAACGAAGTTTACTACATCCCTGACCTGTGTAGTAATATAATCAGCTTGGGCCAACTAGCTGAGGGTGGAGATGAAATAAGGATCAAAGATCCATTTTTGTGGGTAAAAGATTCAAAGGGGAAGTTGTTGATAAAGGTTAGAAGGTCACCAAATCGCCTCTATAAGATAGAACTGCAGGAAACCAAAGGTGTGCCAAAAATAAAGATTCCCTCGCAACCATGTGAAGGCTGTTTGGTAGGAAAACAAGCAAGAGATCCATTTCCAGCTCAAACGAAATTCAGGGCAAACAAGAAGCTGGAGTTGATCTATGGTGATTTATGTGGGCCAGTTACTCCTCCAACACCCTCCGGTAATAGATATTTTATGCTGATGGTTGATGACTTTAGTAGAGTGATGTGGGTGTACTTCCTGAAGTCCAAAGATGAAGCACTTCAAGTGTTCAAGAACTTTAGAAGCAAGGTAGAAACTGAAGCTGGGGAGAAAGTGAAAGTGTTCAGAACTGACCGTGGAGGAGAGTTCTTATCAAAGGAATTCACGAGGTACTGTGAAGAAACTGGACTGGAGAGACAGTACACGTCCCCCTACTCTCCACAGCAAAATGGAGTGGTAGAGAGACGTAATCGGACTGTACTGGAAATGGCGAGGTGCAACTTAAAGACAATGTCTATGCCCAATGCATTGTGGGGCGAAGCTGTATCATACTCGGTTTATGTCTTGAACAGAGCTCACACGAAAGCCTTGAAGAATATAACACCATATGAAGCATGGTCTGGGAGAAAACCACATATAGCACATCTTAGGGTGTTCGGTTGTGTAGCCCACATGAAAATTGTCAGAGGGCATTTGAAGAAACTTGAAGACAGGAGCATGCTTTTGGTTCATCTTGGAATTGAAAAAGGATCGAAAGCATACAGGCTTTTGGACCCAGATTCCGGGAAAGTCTACGTGAGTCGAGATGTTGTATTCGAAGAAGAACGAAATTGGGTATGGGAGAAAAGTCAAAGGTTCGAAGCGACACCTGGAGTATCTTTTACATTCGAAGGATTTGACTTAGATGATGGTGTTCTTTACGATGATGAAGAATGGGCGCAGGACACACCAGGTCAAGCAACTGGATCGGATCAAGGAAGTGGGTCATTTTTGGCCCAATAGTGAGCAGTCACATATGTCGGGTCACCCACACTCAAACCCTCTGGGTAGTCCGATATCGTCAAATACCCCATATATTCCAGTCGCACATGGTGACCACATTGCGATCGAATCATCATCTCAGGAAACGACTCCGAGCACCGCTTCAAGCTCTACGGGCGGTGGAGCTCCCAAAAGGTTCAGGTCTCTTGCCGATTTGTACGATAACACTCAGGAAATCGATATACCCCCTGAAGAATTGATGCTGATTCAAAACAGTGAAGAACCCACATCATACCTTGAGGCTAGTAAGAAGAAGGAGTGGCGAGAGGCGATGGATGCTGAGCTAGCATCAATCGAAAAAAATAACACCTGGAAGTTGGTCGATCTCCCAAAAAATCGCAAGGCCATCGGATTGAAGTGGGTTTATAAACTGAAGAAGGATCCAAGTGGGAAGATCGTCAAGCATAAAGCAAGAATTGTAGCCAAGGGGTATGTCCAAAGGCATGGAATCGACTATGATGAGGTATTTGCCCCCGTGGCCAGAATTGACACAATTCATCTATTCTTAGCCCTAGCAGGTTCGAATGGTTGGAAGATTCACCACCTGGATGTCAAATCGGCATTCCTAAATGGAAATCTAGAAGAGGAAGTTTACGTGAATCAACCTGATGGCTATCAGAAGAAGGGCGAAACTCATTAGGTGTACAAACTCTCCAAAGCCCTTTACGGGCTCAAACAAGCTCCTAGGGCTTGGAATGCTTGCCTGGACTGACATCTGAAGAACATTGGATTCACAAGGTGTGCCCACGAATATTCTGTCTACATCAAGAGGTATGATGAACATGTCTTGATTGTAGGAGTATATGTAGATCACTTAATTGTCACAGGAAGCTGCCCTAAAAGTATTCAGTTGTTCAAGAAGGAGATGAACTCCAAGTTTGAAATGAGTGATTTGGGACTCTTAACTCACTACTTGGGAATTGAAGTAAGCCAAAAGGAAGATGGGATCACACTAAAACAGGAGTCCTATGCCAAGAATCTGCTTGCCAAAACAGGTATGCAAAACTGTAATCCCACAAGGACTCCCATGGAACACAAGCTGATGCTTAAGAAAGAAGAAGAATCTGAGTTGGTGAATCCCACAGAATATAGAAGTATAGTTGGTGGGTTGCGGTACTTAACTCATACCAGGCCAGATATAACCTTTGCTGTGGGAATTGTAAGTCGGTTCATGGAGAAGCCAACCATGAATCACTTACAAGTAGTGAAAGGCATTTTGAGGTACATAAAGGGCACTCTGAATTTTGGTTTGAAGTACTCAAAAGGAAAGGAAAATGTTACACTAAAAGGGTACACAAACAGTGATCTAGCTAATGATGTCAATGATCGAAGAAGCACAGGAGGGATGTTATTCTACATGAATGAGAACTTGGTTACATGGGCCTCACAAAAGCAAAGGTGTGTGGCACTCTCCACCTGTGAAGCATAATTTATGGCTGCCACCATGGCAGCCTGTCAAGGAATTTGGCTCAAGAGATTACTCAGTGAGATAACCGGACAGATGTTGCCTCCTGTTGAATTGAAGGTTGATAACAAATCTGCACTAGATTTAATGAAAAATCCTGTTTTCCACGGGAGGAGCAAGCACATAGATATCCGGTTCAACTTTATCCGAGAATGTGTTGAGAATGGGGATATTTTGGTCTCCCATGTCTGCAGCAAGGAGCAGAAAGCTGATGTCCTGACCAAGTCACTGGGAAAATTAAAGTTTGAGGTGATGCGAAGTCTCCTTGGAGTAATTAAGGTATGAATTCTGAATTAGGGAGGACAATGTTGGAATAATTCAGATATTAGTTTTGAAATGGTCTTATGTCACATTTTTTATGTGTTGAATAATTTAAGCCATGTTGGCTGATGAAGTCCGAGTCCTAAGCAAGTAGGGGTAGTTGCAGAAATTTTAGCATTTTCTTTGTTTAAATAGATAGCTAGTTGTGAACGTTGATGGATCACTTTCCTTTCAATTTCAGTAAATAAAGTCTCCAAAAGCAGTTTTTGTGCTCTGTTTCTTTTGTTACTGTTTCATTGCTATACTCTTGATAAAAGGCTTGTGAAAAGCCAACAGCTTCCACAAACACCTTCCGATGCCAATCAACATGATGACAGTGAAGAAAAGACCATTCCTGATAAGCTGAAACATGTAAAATATGACATCCCATCCATGAGGATGAGGAGTAGTGCCTGCAACCTTCACATAATGTTGCTCAGCAGCAGCACAAATAAAGTGAGCGGAAGTTATAACAAGCAACACGACCATTAGTAAATGCATTCTGTAAACATATCGCACTTTCTTGAAGCATACCATAATCCAAAACCCTAAAAAACACAAATAAATAAGGGAAAAAATTAAGTAAAGAGACCGCAACTGCGTTAGCCCGGCTGATAAATAGTCTTTGGTAGTGGCGTGATCGATGTTGTAGAGCTTTCTTCGTACATCCATAGTCACGAGGGTTTGACGGTTGCAATTGATGAAGTAGAGAGAGGTAATGTAATGCCTTGATGTTTCCCTATTTATATATATACAAGGTTTCCTAGCTAGGGTATAATACGATGACTTGACCACTAAGCAACATTGATACGATATAAGGAATCTTTTGGGATAATTACAATATCTCTAATAAATAAACAGGACGTCAAACTAAATCCATGCAACATTGATACAATATTTTTAAACTTTTGGGATAATCAACTACAAGAATAACCGCCAATACCAACGACACCTTATTATGCATGATCGAATAGTGCAGAAAGCATTTCTTAATGCGATCAAAATGATTAATTGATGCGGTATTGAACCGCAACAAAAAATATCACATCAAAAAACTACCCTTATTTAAAGGTGCGATTCCAAAACCACACCAAAAAATAGCCAAAACCGCACCAAAAAATAGCAAAAAATAGCCAAAATTACACCAAAAAATAACCAAGACCACCTATCTTCCTGGTTTTAGAACTTTCTACCTATGATTCCATTAACTTCTCTTTCCTCAACTGTAGGTCCATTAGAGGTTCCAATTATTCATTCTTTGATTTTAGTTTCTTAAAAAAGAGTGGTTTCAATCTTTGCAATTTCTTTTTCTCTACCAATTAAAAATATGTTCTTGGGAAATCACATTTCATCGACCTTGTTTTAAATTTCTTTTTCGATAACATCTTAAAACTCACTTTGCAAAAACTAACTAAATACTCGATGATTGAAAGTCACAGAAGCAACATCATAAGTCTTTGGACTATATATATATATATATATATATATATATATATATATATATATATATATATATATATATATATATATATATATATATATATATATATAGAGAGAGAGAGAGAGAGAGAGAGAGGTTTATATATAAACCACAATTATTGTCTGAATTTAAGATTAAATGTGGTCCAATCATTTGACAAATGCATTATAGTAATTTAATTAATTAAATTAATTGTTATCTAAATTAAATTTCTATAATTTAGGCAACTAATCAATATTTTTAATTCAAATCCACAGTTTTAGGTCATCTAACACATCACCGTTATGATATTATAATCGATATCAATCCCTACTTCTGCATCGTCGAACCTCATCAACATATGGCTCACTCCTTTGAAGTTGTCGTTCATATTCTTTTTTTTTTTTTTTTGAAGAGCTAAGCTATCGTCCAGAGGCTATTAATACCAGAAACAAAGATTGAGATTTCACATGCCATATTTGTGTGTTAAAAAATAGGTTAGATGTCTACTTAATACTAATTCATTAAAAAAACTATGACAGAATGGGATATCAAGTGATATATTCTCAAAGAATTCATCAGATTAATTCTTATAGAATATGTCGTACTTACTCTTAAAAAAATATAATAGCTTTATTCTAAAAAAATGCATAATTAATCTTAGTGAATACAAAACTTTTAGCAAATGCTTTTTTTGAAAGCCAATTCAGTTGTATGTTATAGTGAGTTCAATGAATGATATTCTCTAAGAATTGTATTAAATATGAGATTTAAATTAAATTCTATGAGAATTCATGGTACATGGAAGAATACGAGATAATTGAATGCATATTCTTTAAGAACAATATTAAATATGATATGTATGTTATCAAATCAATGTGTTTTACTAAACTATGAACTCTATTCATTTTAAACAAACATTGTTACAGAATACGCCATAATGAAAATAAAATTTGGAACTTTGAATTTTATTTTCCCCTGAATTCTTTTAGAATATTAGACATATATTCACATTACATGATACTGGGAATAAAAAATGTTATGAAACCAAACTTCTTTAAGAATTAATGTTATGTAGAAAATTCATCCGTTACATACATGTAAATCATATATATCTTATTTTTTAGTTTTAAGAGTGTTGGATTGACTATCCTTCTATTAATTAGTTTGACTTACTTCCTAAAATATATGTATTTTTATTTTTTATTTTTTAATTAAATTTCATATTTGTCTTTATAGTTATTAAATGTAATTATAGACTAATTGCTATTCCATGTTGATACTATATACCCTAAGATTACAAATCATTCATTTGTTCTTAATCTAATGGCCAAAATTTAATCATACGTTCACATAATATTTGTAATTCACATTTCATCCTAATTCTATATATATATATATATATATATATATATATATATATATATATATATATATATATATATATATATATATATATATATATATATTACACTGACATATTCTAAAAAATAATTTTAAAATGCAAAATAAATGGAAAAATCTAAAAATTATTTTTTTAAATATTATTTTCGGAACTTGAATTAACTAAAAAAAATAAAAAAAATAAAAAAAATCCTATTTTTCTGAAAAATACTTGAAATATTCTAAATAGAATATTTAACTGTACACCGTGAGACCAAATCTAAAAATAATTTTAAAATGCAAAACAAATGGAAAAATCAAAAAATTCTTTTTTTAAATATTATTTTCGGAACTTGAATTAACTAAAAAAATTGAAAAAAAATAAAAAAAAAATAAAAATCCCGTTTTTTTTTAAAATACGTGAAATATTCTAAATAGAATATTACACTAACATATTCTAAAAAATAATTTTAAAATGCAAAATAAATGGAAAAATCTAAAAATTATTTTTTTAAATATTATTTTCGGAACTTGAATTAACTAAAAAAATATAAAAAAAATAAAAAAAAATCCTATTTTTCTGAAAAATACTTGAAATATTCTAAATAGAATATTTAACTCTACATATTCTAAAAATAATTTTAAAATGCAACATAAATGAAAAAATGAAAAAATTCTTTTTTTAAATATTATTTTCAGAACTTGAATTAACTAAAAAAAATTAAAAAAAAATAAAAATGCATCTCACGATCTCATAAAATTAAACCGTCTCACATGAACCTAACCCTATATATATATATATATATATATATATATATATATATATATATATATATATATATATATATATGTATATATACTATAATAAATGAAGGTTTAATTGGCTATTGTTGGCTTAGTGGAGCTGATGAACAGTAAAATTGTAAGCTGGTATCGTTGTTTGGAGTTGCGGATATAATTATCATTGTCATCATCTTTTTTCATCATCACCAGCTTCAATGATACATGTTGTCTCCTCAGAAATTCCATCGATACACCGTTATCACTGTCATATTTGTAACACCGTTTTTCACCCTTTTTTTTCCTTTGTTTATTTTAAAACATTTTTAACAGATTACGTTTGCGGAAGACTTATTAAGAATATTTCAAAAACATCACTAATATTATTTTCATGATAAAAAAATCCATCAAAGCTTTAAGTTAACAAAGACAGTATGATTAAAATATATATACATACCGCTTCATATTTTAATAATTACAAATAATAAAGAAATTATCCGATTAGCTTTTCTATTTCCCTTCCTACCAAGATGTTCCCTGTAACTGATCGAATAAATCGTCGATCCTCGGCAACGGGTAACGGTTCTTGACCGTCAGCTTATTCAATTCTCGGTAATCAATACACATTCAATGCGAGCCGTCCTTTTTCTTCACAAACAGAATGGGTGCTCCCCACGGCGAGCTACTCGGCCGAATAAACCCCTTTCCCAGCAGCTCCTGAAGCTGCGAGGATAACTCTTGCATCTCTGGAGGTGCAAGACGATAAGGCACCTTAGCGATAGGCGCGGCTCCCGGAACCAAATCGATACTGAACTCCACTTGCCTCACGGGAGGCACACCCGGTAATTCTTCGGGAAAAACATCTGGAAACTCACGCACCACCGGAACTTCATCCACTGAACTCGGTCTCTCGGAGATCACTCGCGTATCCATCACATACGCCACAAAACCCTTACAGCCCTGCTGTAAACACTGCCTCGCCCTAGCGACCGAACAAAAGGCTGATCCAGAACGTGTACCCTCACCGTATACTGAAAGAACTCCCCCACTAGGATCTCGTATGGTCACCAGCTGACGCTCGCAGTCGATAACCGCGCCGAATCGGCTCAACCAGTCCATGCCCACTATGACATAGACATCACCCATCGCAATAGGAACCAGATCGATGGGAAACTCAACCCCAAAAATATCTAACACACATCCCCGGAGGACCTCTGTGGCACAAATCACTCTGTCGGCAGCTATGGAAACCCGCAGAGGCCGACTCAATGCCTCACGACTAACACTGATATGCTGACTAAAGGCCAAAGATACAAAAGACCGACTCGCACCCGAGTTAAATAACACTAAAGCAGGCACAGAGTTCACAAGGAAGGTACCTATGCATAACATAATATAAGCATAATATCTCAACACCAAAAATAAATATATATAAGGAAACGTACCAGCCACAATGTCGGGTGCAGCGCGGACCTCTTCCGCAGTCAGCTGAAAGGCTCTCCCTCGAGCTCTCGGTGCCTCGACCTTCACGGGCCGACTCTCTGTAGCGGCGGGAGCAGATCCCTGAGATGCTCCGCGCAGCAGCAAACACTCCGCCTTCCGGTGTCCGGTCTGGTTGCAGTGAAAACACACTGCAAACCCCTTGGGGCAGTCCTTGGCCATATGCCCCTCCTTGACACATTTGTAGCAAGATCCTGCTTGACAGACTCCATCGTAACCCTTGCCGCACTTGCTGCAAGTGCGGCCCTTCTGGCTCCCGGGTTTGGGATCAGCGGGCTTGGCCCGCTTGGCTGCCGGCTGGAGCTGTGCCGGCCGCCGATCCCTCCCCAGAGACTTCGCCTCCTCCCTGGCCTGAGTCTCAAGCTCAATCTCCCTCTTCTGGGCATTTGCCTGAAGCTCAGCAAATGTACGATACGAGGAGTTCGCGGCAAACTCCCGAATATCCCGTCTCAAAATGCTCAGGTAGCGGCTCATACGTGCCTGCTCAGTGGACACGTGCTCAGGGCAGAACATCGCCCTCTCATGAAACATCCTCGTGATCGCTGTAACT